ATCTCCCCATGCTCTTAGGAACATGATCATTGGCTTGATCCATCCAGGAGCATCTGGGGAGTGGTCTGGCCGTGGCTGGCTTGGCTTTCCTCTGGCGTTTTACCGCCGTTCTGGTAAGAAGCACTCAGTAGGGGCCTTCATACTGCAGCTGTAGCTTGTTCTTTCTTTTGCAAACTCTTGCTAGTGAAATGAGGTCCTTGATCACTAGAAACCTGCAGTGGGATCCTAAATCCTGGAACAAAATCAGTCAGCAGTTGTTTAGCTACAGTCATGGCGTCGCTCTTTCTAAAGACATGGTCCTGGGTCTTTCGCTTCGAGTTCAAATCAATTCTTTGAGCTCCAAATACAAGCCGAGTCTCAAGCCATTCAGCTGAAATCGAAGTCAAATCTCAAGTGATATCATTTTTTTTGATAGAATTATATATTTCTAGGTTTGCTTGAAAATCGTTTTAGTGAAGACAATTAGAATACATACCTCCAATCATTTACCAGCACTCCTTGATACTTTTAACAGAACAATGAAATTTGTATATAAACTTAAGGACACAAACATTGAATTATGGGTCCTAGGTATGACATATTAAACTGCATCCACCCCTGCAAGTGCTCCACCAACTTGCAGGGTAACAATTTTGTGGGTTGGTGGTGGGATTGGAACTCTAGCCACCATAAAATACTTCACAGCAAGGTTGATATGGTGCAAGAGCTGGGGTGCTAAATGTTAATGACACTTATAGAGGTCATTTAAAAATGGCCTTAGTACGAACCACAGGGTCGAGATAGGATCAGAGTTGGTATCCTAGGAGATGCACATACTTTGTGCATGTCAGCTTGTACTAGGAAAGGTAAAGAAACATTTATTCTGCACTTATATGCTGTGAAGCATGACACAAGACATTCCATAGTCAAAGAGCCAAAAATCAAAAACCCCAAAATGTCTGTTTTAGGGAAACAGAAACCGACACGTCTCTCCAGCACTGGGAGGCCAGTGACCAGACCACAGTTGACAGGCAACGTCAGTCAGTAAGAATACCCAGTAAGGCCTGCACTTCAGCCTGGGGGTCAGGATACTCCACAGGGGCTGGAGAAAGAGCAACCAAAACAGAAACAGGGCAAAGACGATTCATAAAGACTTTTTTGGTCATTAAAATCATGCTAAATTGTAAATGCCTTCTGTAGTTCTGAAGACGATTCATAAAGACTTTTTTGGTCATTAAAATCA